GGGCGTGGAGGGAGGGGGGTGGCCAGCGGTGGGGGCCAAAGCCCTGGGAGCTGGGTCAGTCATTGCCTGCAGGAGCCGGCTGTCGGGCGGCTGCTCGGACGGGTACCCCACGGCAGAAGGCTGGTTTTATTTCGCCCGTTGCTCGCCGCTGGTCACGCACAAAGGGCGCCTGGTTTGTGTCAGACCGCGCTGCCTGCTCTCCCTCTCTTGGCAGGTCCCGCAGGCAGCTGAGAGGGCTCGGCGCCGCTCCGCAGCCCTGCCAGGCCACTCCATCAGAGTTTCCTGCCTGCTCGCCTCTTTCCTGCTCTTCAGGCCGTGGTTTCCTTCTGTAAATCTCAGCTGGTTCCTTTAGGTCCCCTCTCGCTTCGCCTCCACGCGGCCCCCCGGACCATCTGGCAGGAGCCCCTCATCCCTGGGGGAGCTGGTGGGCTCCAGGCGCGGCCCCTGCCCCGGCCCGGGGGTGCTGCGGGTGCAGGGAGCGGGGACGGGCAGATTCTGTGGCTGTGGGGCAGCGAGGTGCAGGGGGGCCGCAGAGAAACGCTGCAGCTGCTGGGGCGCTGCCATCATCCCAACCTCTCCCTGCACTGCCCGGGGGGCTTCAACCTGGAGGGCTTTGAGGGAAATCACCTTTTCTTTGCTGTTACAGCAGTAAGGAGTAGGTGTACCTGGGGCTATCACATCATAGCTGGGGAGTTCCCTGTTCCAACAGCCCTGAAACTCTTTTTTGACATTTTATTAAGGAGAAGAAGTAGAACCCTTTAAGAGGAAAATCAAGCAAGGCTTTCCTCATAACAATATCTGCTCTTTTTTATCTTTGAGGTAAAAACTTTCATTGGGAGAAACTAACAGACTTTTGGCTGAGCACAGAGATGACGTTAGCTGTCATCTCTGGGGCTTGGGAAAAAAGCTAGTGGAGACATCCTGGAGCTCTGTGGCTAAAACCCCCTCTTTGTGCTGTTAAGACGAAACCAAGACGACTGCACGCAAAAGCAGCTCACTACAGTAGTGAGGCCAAAAAAATAACGTGTCCTGCAGCAGTCTTGCTGCCACGTAGACATAGGCACAGCCCGTGTTCTCCTGCCACTAGGAGATTGGATTGTGCTGAAAGGGGAATTATAAGTGAGAATATGGGCTCTAAGAGCCAAATTCATATTTTTAATCAAAGACTTTTTGTCATACAGTATCAGGTGCAGGTCAGTGAGCTTAGCTAATGGGTGAGGTAGTGAAATGGTAGAGCAAGGGCTGGAACAGCATTCAGGGACAACGGGTGACATTGAAGGCTGGACTAACAGTCATGGGAGGAAATGGAATGGTACAAAATGCAAAGTCATGCCCTGGAGTCACTGAACAAACATTTATGCCATAAATTAGGCCCCCGATTTGGAAGTGATTAAAAAGGAAAGGGCGTGCATGCGTCCAGCAGCCTCAGGATGAATGTGGGCTGCCATGTAGCGCAGCCACGAAGACGTGGCACATTCTTAACCCTATTGGGATGTATTTCCAGGAGGGGTAGAGAGTGCAGTGTTATTTACAGTGTTATTTACAGACCACGCACCAGCCATGCGAAAAACCATGAACTGAGTTTAGAAAAGGTGCAGAGGAGAGCGGCTGAGATGACTGAGGGAATGCAGACAGCAGACGAGAGCAGCCCAGTTTGTTGAGACAGACGTTGGGGGGAGATAAGATTGCCCAGCATAGCTTTATCAGTGAAAAACACCGGAGCAGAAGATCTGCTCAAACTGATGGATGGGTTTTGCATAAGGGGAACGTGGTCAGAGCTGGCTGAAAACTAAGGGGATGTTTCTAGCAGACTACAACGAGCTCCCAGAGCAGGGTGGGTAGAGCGCCTGCCCATGTTGCAGAAAGATTTTCGAGCAGGGAGCAGGTTCCAGCCCCGTTTGCTTTGTGCGGGCGGGCTGGTGTGCTCCAGCTGGGGTAACGGGCCTGGCTGGCTCCGTCCCACACTCGGGGCACTGTCACCGAGGTCTGTGGCCCCCGCGGGAGGGGGAAGCTGCCGTGCTGTGGGCACGCCACCGGCTCCCCACTGACAGCGGTGTCTTCGCCTGGCCCGTGGGTGCAGCGATGGGTTTGCTGCCTTGCCCTTCCTTCTCCATCAGGTCAGGTCCTGGCATTGTTGGTCTCAACCCAACTTCTGCTCCCACGAAACGGAGAAGTTACCCCGAGCATCCTCTGTGGTGCGGTGTTCCCACAGGCACCGGGCAGCAGGCGCTCAGACTGCCTGACCCTTTCTTTTCCCCTATTGCCCCCATGCCTCCAAAGAGAATTCAGATACTATTCAGATGCATTCAGTTATGCAACCAGCTTTTAGCTATGCAAATGTATGCAGCTTTTCCCTTACACAATGTCCTGTTTTCTTTCAGCTTCTTTTTTGGAAATTCAGCACTTCCTGTGGGAGTGCAATCTGAGTCCTGGGGAGCCATCTGGAACCCTCCCAGCCTCGGGTCCCCAGGCAGGCTGGAGCTGGCACCGGCTCCTCTCAGCAGACTCGCCACCCCGGCTGCTGGAGCCCTCCCGCCCGCCGTCCGCGGCTGCCTGCGCAGGCCAGGCCCCTCGTCCACCCCAGGGCCAGGGGCACGAGCTGCTGCCAGTTCCCTGCAAGGAGCACAAACGCAGAGGGGGGCTGGATCTGCACGGCCTGCCCGGGTCCGTGACCTGGCACCAGCCGACGGCAAGTGTGTAGGAAGCAGCGTGAGAACAGGGCAAGAGCGACCAGCACTTCCCTGGCGTGTCCTCGCAGGCCCCAGGGGCTTGTGTCTCTGGGAGCTGCTGAAACAACCATCTCTCAGGTTAGCCAGAGCCCCTGATGGATTTTCCCCCACAGATTTCTCCCAATGCTCTTTGAATCTGTAGACACTTTAAGCACCCAGAATGTCCCGCAGCAGAGACTTGGCTACCCAGAGAACGCAGAATTCCTGCCTTCAGCCTGGCCTCGTGCTGGATTCTGCAATAACTCTCAGATTCTGGGTGGGAAAAGACGGTGAACATCTCCCCACTGCAGCTGCTGTGGCATCCACCTGTCTCCATCTGTGATGTCTGCTCAGTCCTGCCCCGTGTTTCCTCATTCTTACGCTTCTCCGAGTCCTCAGGAGATGGGACAATGGACACCTCAGGAGGTGGCATCCTCTTCTCTGCTCCCTTCCCAGCCATTTCTAGCAATTCCATTTCCTCTGGGGAGCAGGGTGGGTAAGCCTGGGAAGTCCCTGTGCTGCTGCGTGCCCGGCTGAGCCCTGTGTTAGTCTTTTTGTTTGTAACCTTCCACTGGTGGTGTGGCCCTGGGACTGCAGCGTCTCTCGGGGGCCTCTGCCAGCGCCTCCCCTGAGCCCCAGCAGGGCCGCGGGCTCCCTGCGCGCGGGGGCTCACGCGCCTGCCCAGGTGTGAGCAGAGGCCGGCTGGGATGCACGGCCTGGGACCGTCTCCCGCGAGGGCTGGCAGGGCTGGGGACCCCCGTGGAGCCCCTTGGCCCCAGTGCCATGGCAGTCCGGGGACCTCTGGGGAGCAGGGGGGCCGTGCCATGCCCAGCCCATGGCCAGGGGCTCCTCCACAGGGGGCTGTGGGGACCTGCCGGGTGGCTTGAGGAGACCCCGCGGGACGGCGGAGCAAGGCCAGGCCCGGGTGCCCCGCTCAGGGTGGTCTGTGCCCCTGGGCTCTGGGCGCCCCGTGATGGGGTGAGGCTCTGCCTGTGGCGCCCCGATGGGCCGTGAGGTGCCTGGGGCTGGCCTGGGCGGGCTGGAGGGAGGAGGGCAGGTTTGCCCAGGACAGCAGCGCGGGTGGCCACGAGTCCATGGCCTGAGGGTCCCAGCTGAGACCCAGGCGCGGCCGAAGGCCCGGCTGAGGGCCTGGCTGAGGGATGGGAGGAGGGCTCGGCTCAGGGCTTGGCTGAGGGATTGGCCCGGCGCAGGGCCAGGCTCAGGGCCAGGCTCAGGGCCAGGCTCAGGGCCAGGCTCAGCACTTGGCTGAGGGCTCGGCTGGGCTGAGGGATTGGCTGAACACTCGGCCCCAGCTGAGGGCCTGGCTCAGGGCCCAGTTTAGGGCCCGGCTCAGGGCCTGGCTGAGGGCTTGGCCAGGTTTAGGACCCAGCTCAGGACTTGGCTGAGGGCTCGGTTCGGCTCAGGGCGCAGCCCAGCGCCCGGCTCAGGGCTTGGCTGAGGGCTCAGCCAGGCTGAGGGCCTGGCTCAGGGCCCAGCTCAGGGCCGGGCTGAGGGCTTGGCCCAGCTCAGGACGTGTCTCAGAGCCCAGCTCAGGGCCCGGCTGAGGGCTTGGCCAGGGCTGAGGCCCGGCTCAGGGCCCGGCAGACCACGGCGCCAGCAGAGGGCAGCAGCTGTGTCACACACACGGACACGGACACACACAGCCAGGGACACACGCGCACGGCGGGATGTGCCCTGTGTCCCCCCGACAGCACAGCCCTCCCCACGGTGTGTCTTGGCTCTGCGCACATGCGTGTGTGTGACCGTGGCTCTGCGGTACCCGTGTGCACACGTGTGTGTGTGGCTCTGTGTTACCCGCACACACACACGTTCACAGCTCCTGTCTGCGCCCGTGGCTGTGTGTGAGCACGCGGGGCTGCGGGGCAGGACCCGTGCTCAGCCCCCCCGCACCGAGTGCTGTGGGGGTGCTCCCCTGGCGTCTCCCTCTGTGACGGGTGCCGGGGGTGCCCGGCCCTCGCGGCTCTCCCGGCGCTGCCGGCTGCGCTCCCACAGCTCCTGCCCCGCGGGCTCTGCCCACTCCTGCTCCAGGCACTCCCCACGCCATGGGACTGGGGCGCGGGCTCCGCATTTCCCCTTCTCTGCCAGTGCCAGAGTCCCGCGGTCACAACCCTCCCGGCACTCCCCAGAGTCCCTCCGGGAAAGCTGTTGGGCAAAAGAAACCTCAGCCACGTGGTAGTTGAGACAGCAAAGAGTTTATCGAGGCGCCTGCCCACTGCCGCGCAGAGGATGGTCCCGCTCCGTCCTGTGTGCAGAGCAAACCCCGGCGAGTGCCGGGCCCACGCCGGCCCCGCAGGCAGCTCCCTGCTAGTGGTCCTGGTGGTGCCTCTTCTTGCGCTGTGGGCCCGTGATGACGGTGGTGGTGATGGTGATCTTGTTCACCGTCAGCCCTCCCGTGCCGTAAGTGTCGAGATGTGCCTCTCGTTTGTACTCGGAGACCTGCTTGGTGGAGAGGAGCTCCCACACCGACACCCTCTTCTCCTGGAACTGGCCAAAAGTAATGTAGGAGCCCTCGGACTGGAGGAGATCCACTGTCTGCTGGGGGAGCATCGCCAGGGGCCGCTCTCTGCTGTTTGTCACGATGGTGCTGCCAGTGGCGGCCAGTTCCTGAATGGTGAGTGTCCCTGCATGGTACAGCCCCAGCAGCTCCTGCCTCTTCTCCTCAGGGATGTAGTCGGAGAAGAGCAGGTCCCACACAGAGACCTGCCTCCCCTGGAACCCATCCACAGCCATCTCAATGCTGGTGGACTTCAGAGTCTCTTCCCAGGCCCTGTCCCCCTGCAGGTGGCTGTGCTCAGCTTCTGTGACTCTCGGCTCTGCTCCTGGACTACTCACATTTGCCAGTTCCTCTGCCCTTGCTGCTTCTGCCTTGGTCACTATAGTGCTGACAACGGTTTTCACCTGCTCGAGGGTTAACTCTCCCGCCTGGTACAGCTCCAGCAGCTCCTTCCTGTTCTCCTCAGGGATGTACTTGGAGTGGAGCAGGTCCCACACAGAGACCTTGTGGCCCCGAAGCTCCCCAACCTCCATGTCAACCACTGTGGTCTTCAAGGCTGTTTGCCATGGTTCTTCTTTGGTGGAGGCGTCATCCTTCTCTGCTGCTGCTGACATGGTGTCCTTGTCAGAAGTCTTGACTGCAATTAGCAATTTCCTGCTTGTAGATTCTTTTTTCTTAATGACAGCGATGACAACAGTTATCATCTGCTCCAGAGTTAATACCCTTTCACGGTACAGCCCCAGCAGCTCCTGCCTCTTCTCCTCAGGGATGTAGTTGGAGAAGAGCAGGTCCCACACAGAGACCTGCCTCCCCTGGTGTTTGCCAGCTGGCACATCAATGGTGGTAGCCTTCAAGATGTTATCTAGTTGTGCATCTTGTTTTGAAAAATCATCTCCATTTTCCTCTGCCCTTGCCGCTGCCTTGTGTGAACTTCTGGTGTTTGCAGGTTCTGTTCTGTTTATGATGGTGGTGACCACAGCAGCCACCTGTTCTGTGGTCAGTATTCCTGCTCGGTAGAGCTCCAGCAGCTCCTGCCTCTTCCCTTGAGGGATGTATTTGGAAAAGAGCAGATCCAACAAGGAGATATTTTGACCCTGGAGCTCACCAGCTGTGACATAGATGGTTGCGGACTTTAAGGACTTTCTCAGCTGTTGCTCCTGGGATTGTGCATTCTGGGCTGGTTGTGATGCTCCCACCTGGTTGTTGGGTGTAACTGTGGATGAGTGCAGATCGCTGTTTTCCATTTCTGCCCTGGTGACGATGGCGGTGAGGAGGGTGATCATCTCCGAGATGGTGACCTTCCCCGTCTTGTACTTCCTCAGCAGCTCTTCTCTCTGGTGATCGGGGACGTAGCGGGAGAACAGGAGCTCCCAGACGGTGACGCTCTGGCCCTGGAAGAGCCCCACGCTGAGGGTGGTGCGGGCGGCCTGCAGGGCTTTGCGGGCGTCCTCGGTCAGCTGGTGGAGCACGGAGCCCTTGTCCATCACGTGGAGCAGGAGCAGCCCCGAGTCCGGGTCGGGCACGCAGCGGCGGAGGAGCTGCGTGTAGGTGAGGTTCTCATGGGTGTTGGGGTCAAAGCAACTTCTTGTTTGATTCTTGGGGTTAGAAAGAAACTGGCACATCTCCTGGTCGAAGTAGCCGCGCTGGTAGGCCACCTCCACGGGCAGGCGGTGGCTGTGCACAGGGTCGATGATGCCGCCGGTGGCGATCTGGGCCTCAAGCAGGCGGATGGCGTGCTCCCGGACGATGAACTCTTTCTTCATGGCCTGGAAGAGGGAGATCTGCTGGCCGGTGTAGGGCTCCGTGTACCCCGTCACAGCTCCTTCTGCCGACAGCAGCTTCTCGTAAAAATCTCTGCCTATGACTCCTGCAGTCAGTGCCTCTTTCACCGAGAGTTTCTCGTTCCTCACGGGGTCGGTGAGGAACCCTGAAGCAGCCTGTGCCTCCAGCAGCACCAGGGCCGTACCTGGTGTCAGGAGCCCCCTCATCATGGCATCATAGATACTCACCTTCTTGTTCATGGTTTGGATGAAGACTCCAGCTATGAAGTTACTCCCACCCCCACCCCTCTCTTTGTGTCCATCTGCAATCTGGTTACTGCCCGTGTCACTTGGATTGTTCTGAGGGGCTGCACTCATCTTCCGCATCGTCTCTGGGGAACAGTCCTGATACTGTGGGGCACCGTCTTTGTCTGAGGGGAGAGAAAGAAACGACTTGGTAAGACATAGGTTCTTGGGCAGTTTACGTGGTGTGCGTGAAGGAAGTCATGGCCCTGGATGTGGTAGCAGGGGCCCAGAGAGAAGCGGGGCGTGGGGTCTGGGGCCCTGCTGCTGACCTCCTCTCCCAGCAGCAGCCTCAGGGCCGAGAGTGCCCCTGTCCAGTTCTCTCTCGAAGGGCAGCTGGGTGCTCTCAGGAAGCAGCAGTGGCGGCTCGGGCGGCATGTTCAGGTGCTCTGCAGTGCTGGGCTCGGTGCAGCGGGTAGCCCTGGCACAGGGGTGCAGCCCTGGTGTCACCAGAAGGCTCGTTCCTGTGCCAAAGAGCTCCTGCACTCAGGGCAGGAAGGCAGGTAGTGGGTGCTGTGATGGGAACGGACACTGGCAGCGGAGCGGACCCGGGGGCAGCGGGGGCTTAAGGGCCACGTCACAGAGTGGCAGGCTTGGAGACACACACCCTGCAAAGAACCATCATACCAGCAGCCTGGATGGCCCCGCTCTGGGCCCCGGGGAGTTGCCTGCTCCCCCAGAGCCTGACACCCTCAGACCTGTGGCCTCTACCACCTTCCTCTTCTGCTCGCTTTTGGGGTGATGCCCTGGGGGGCCAGCGGGGAGCATGGACACTGCTCATCCACACACACACACCCCCCTCCCCCCCCCAGCGCTGGCTCCTGAGCTGCCCTGGGGCTAGCAGATCTAACTGGTGGCCACTGGACAAGCACGAGTCGTGCCACCAGCCACTGCCCAGCTGCAGAGAGATGCTGGCTACTGCTGCAACTCCTCCTCTGCTCTTGCCCATGCAGACCATCACGCTGCCTGGCTTCGCGCTGGCCACAGGCCCGCTGTGAGCGTGGTGGGACACCACCAGCACCGAGCAGGGTGGCAGGCGCAGCCTGGCCCGTGGCTGCCCGTGGAGATCCTTCTTCTTGCTGTGTGATCCCGCATCACTCTGGCACGGCACAGGCCGAGAGAACTGATCCACCTGCAGCGGTAGGCCCGGCCTGGCAGAGACCTTCTCTCAGGCTGGGCCTTTGCTGCAGTTGAGATGTCCCTGGGTCTCCGCTTGTTCTAAGGCCCCTCGGTTGGCAGAGCCCCCAGCCCCATTGCACTCTCCTGTCCTCCAAAGCCAGGGTCTGCTGCCACGGGCGTGCTGGCCCCGCTCCTGGCCCCTGCTGACCTCCGCACTGCGCACAGGTCTGGGGGAGGCCAGTCGGCTGGTGCCAGACACCATCCCGGGGCCATCCTAACCAGTTCCAGTGGCTGGGGACAGGGGCAGCATCAATGCAGGGGTCTGTCTGACCGCGAGCTCTCTCTGCGGCAGAACCAAGGTGCTCTCGCCAGATATTCAGAGAAACTGCTCTAGCAACAGGATGGGGGAGAGAGATGCTCTGTCTGAGGCCCCTGGCACATGGCCTCTGGACCTCCTGGTCTGCAGCCACCACGGGCTGTTGTCCCCGGGCCTGTGTGGTCACGGCTGCGGGTCCAAGCCTGGCGTCAGCCCCTACAGCACCCTGGGGCAGCAAGGCCTGTGATTTACTCACACCTTTCAGGGCAAGTGTTTTCACTGGGAGCTTCTAGCCCCTGTGCTGCAGGAGGTCGTGAAAGGTCAGTCTTTGTCATTAGCTAATTGTTTTGTAGGTAAAATGGTCGATAAAATATATATAAATGAAAATAAAGATTAGACAGTAGGTCTCTCCCACTCAGGCTCGTCCTCTGCGGTTCATGCGAGCGGCTGCGGTCGGTGCAGTGGGTGCCCTCACCCCCTCACCCCTGCCCGAGCTGTTCGGAGAGAGGCAGACACAGGCCATGCGGAGTCAGGCCAGGTCTGTGCAGGCCAGAGTCTTGTTTCCATCTCGAGCCATAAGTGGACAACAGGGCGAGGATGAAGAATGGGGCAGTGTGTGTAATATTTCCCCGGTTTCTCTATCAACAAGTGGCTGTTTTCAGCTCAGGGGATTTCACGAGCTGGATGCACTCGGGCTCTGTAGCAATCCCTGAGGGGTGGATGTGTCGCCTGCTGTCACCCGGTCTCTTCTGGAAGCCCTGTATAAACTTTCAGCATCTACAACATTGCACGGTGGTGAGGCCACAGTCTCGTAAAACCAGCAAAAACGAAACCCAAACCTTTCCTTGGGAACACCCATCTCCCATAAACTCCAGTGAGTGACAGTAATGATATGTTTAACTCATTATCAGGGTCACAGCGTAACTCTCCGACTGTTTACCTAACTGGTCGAAAAGTCTCTGAGTCATTGCTTCTGATCCATCTAAATATTGGCCGGGTGCTGCTGGAGATGGATCACGATGGGGAGAGGTTTGCCCCAGCAGCTTCAGGCCAGCTCCTGCCTCTCTGGGGACCCTGCCCATGGCTCCAGGCTCTCCTGCAGCCAGTGGCTCTGGTCCGACTGCGGCCCCAGCCCTGGAGAGCAGCTTCTCTGCCCTCCCCTGCCTGACTCCACTGATGCAGCTGGAACCTTCCGGGAGGTGACGGGCTGGTTGTGCTGCCTCGGATGGCACTCGGTCCGGACAGAGTGCTGGGTCACACCCTGGAGCAGGCGACACTTATGTAGGACATGGATGTCGTGTAAACACCCTATACTGGAAAGACGTTGCCCAACTGCAAGCTATCATTAGCTGGTCTCTAATCAGACCTCCTGATGCCGGGGCTTGGCTGCACACGCCGCTCCCGGGGCAGGACCTGACTGTCCTTTCAAGCTGTCACAGCAGCCCAGCCCAAAAGGTCCCAGTGGAAGCGGTTTTCCAGCCGAAGTGAGCTGGGGTGGCCTGGCAGTGCCGCGGTCCCAGCCCTGCCTGCCCCCGGGGGGTGGAATCACGTCAGCCCCCCAGCCTGGCGCTCGCCGCGCAGGCTCCTCCACCGGGCTCCCAGCCCAGACCCATGGCGCGAGTCGGCAGGCTCCTGCTTCAGGTGCCCTCAGCTCCGGCAGGTCCCGCAGCTCCGGCTGCTCCCTCCTGTACCCCCGTGTCCCTGTGTGCCTGGCTGAAGCGCTGAGGGCACAAAGCGCATCGCAGGGACCAGCAGCTCCATCCTGCCCTGGTGCCGCTCGGTCGCATTGTCCCTTCTTGGCGAGGGCCGTGTCCTGCCCGGAGACCTGCGCCTCACCAGAGCCCTGGGCCGCAGGAGCTGCCCCCCCATCGCCAGATTTTGGGTAGGGGCACGGTCCCCCATTCCTTGCAGGCCCCAGTATCTGCGCGGAGGGTGCCGTGTCCCCTCAGGTGGGCTCTGTCCTACCTGCTGGACACGTATCCAGAGCGCCCGGCTCCCTGGCAGGCTCGGGTCCTCCTCCTCCTCCTCCCGCTGCCTCTCAGCCAGGGTGCGCAGCCAGGCAAGCGCCCAATTTAAATCCTTCCCTCCCCCGCCCCTGGGGATGACAGGGTGGCCCTGCCCTGCGCTGGAATACAGGAGCAGAGCTGGAGCACAGACACCCAACCGCTGCAGCGCCGTGTCACAGCACCCCTGGCCTGCGAGCCCAGGCGGGGGCCAAGGGCTGGGGCACAGTGACCGGCCCCGCTGCGA